GTTCGGGAATTACCAAAACTGTTGTCCAAGAGGGCTGAGGAAGGGGTGTATGAGTGTCGGACATGTAGAGAGAATGGAGCGAAGCAGAATGATTCCATAGTGTATCATCTGTATGTGGAAGGAAGGCGGGGTAGGGCGTCCTAAGGAAGTTGGAGGGAGGGGTGACGGAGTTTTGTGTGCAAGGGCTTGGAACTATCCTACAGGCATGCGTGAGCGTGATTGATAGAGTGAATGGAGACAACATGGATTTTTAATACTTGACTAGCTGTTGGAGTTGAGCAAAGTACGTTAAATGAAGGGTTCAAGAAACCGGCAGGCCGGACTTGAGTCCCTGGAGATGGGAAGTACAGTGGCCTGCACGCTGAAGGAGGGGTGTTAATGTTGCAGTTTAAAAACTGTAGTGTAAAGCACCCTTCTGGCAAGACAGTGATGGAGTGAATGATGGTGAAAGTTTTTCTTTTTCGGGCCTACCCTGCTTGGTGGGATAGGCTAGTGGTGCTAATAAAAAAAAAAGAATTAATAAGAAAATAGAAGAAAACCCAGCGGGGTGTGTATATATATGCTTGTACATGCACGTGTAGTGTGACTAAGTGTAATTAGAAGTAAGCAGGATTGAACAGAAATTGCATGTTTCTTTCATTTAACAACACTGGCCTATCCCACCAAGGCAGGGTTGGCCCAAAAAAGAAAAACAAAAGTATTTCTCTTTTTAAATTAAGTAATTTATACAGGGAGAAGGGGTTACTACCCCTTGCTCCTGCATTTAGTTCGCCTCCTACACACGCATAGCTTTATGGAGAAGAATTCAGTTCCGCTTTCCCATGGAGAAAAGTGGAAATAAACAAGAACAAGAACTAGAAAGAAAATAGAAGAAAACCCAGAGGGGTGTGTGTATATATATATGCTTGTACATGTATGTGTAGTGTGACCTAAGTGTAAGTAGAAGTAGCAAGACGTACCTGAAATCTTGCATGTTTATGAGACAGAGAAAAGGACACCAGCAATCCTACCATCGTGTAAAACAATTACAGGCTTTCATTTTACACTCACTTGGCAGGACGGTAGTACCTCCCTGGGCGGTTGCTGTCTACCAACCTACTACCTAGCATTGAAATTTTTACCATGTGAAAATGATATACAGAAAGCAGAGTATACAGAGAGGAAATGGTTTTGGAGAGGAAACTTGAAGAGCAATTAGACTTGATAGGGGAGATGTTTAATGAAAAATTGATGGAGAGGATATTTTGACGAGTTGTGAATGTTAATGATGAAAGGGAGTTGCTGATTAGTTGCATTGGGAAGGGAGGAATAACATAGAGGAGTGAGGAAGATCTGGGAGGTGGATATGGATTAAGTGCATAAGGCAGTAGGTAGAATGAAAGTACAGTCTTCTGCTGCACACTTTAGTGCTTGGAACATTCCCCATTTTCATTGACCCTAGCACTCCAAGCTTACCTACTAGACAGTTTACAACAGTCTCAGCCATTTCAGCATTAAGATTCCCCACAACAATTATTCTCTCATTTGGCTCAAAACTTTTTTAACATTAACCTAACATCTAAAATCTTTCTATTCTACATACCTCTCACCCCCAGGTGCATACACATTAATTATAACCTACTTCTCGTAATCCACCTTCATTCTAATCCACATTTATTCTTGAATTTATAAACTTATACCCTCACTTTTCTTTCTGTAGTTTATCACTACAGCTCAGCTCAGGGTCTGTGCTGTAGAACTGTGTGATGAGCTCAACTCACTCAGATAAACAGTGAATGGTGAATTTGGGCCTAGATATGAGAGGATAGGTCTATGCATTGTGTGCACTATATAAAAAATCCTGCTTCATGCAGTACATAATAGTAAAAAACTGTGAGTGTATTTTTGGTTTAGAATAGCGAATATTTCGTATATATTTGGATGTAATTTGGATGTAATTTGGCAGTAATTTCATGCACTGGTCAGGGAGGTATACCATCTTTTAGGAGTGAAGAAGAGCAGAATGTAAGTGTGGGGGAGGTACGTGAGGCATTACGTAAAATGAAAGGGGGTAAAGCAGCTGGAACTGATGGGATCATGACAGAAATGTTAAAAGCAGGGGGGGATATAGTGTTGGAGTGGTTGGTACTTTTGTTTAATAAATGTACGAAAGAGGGGAAGGTACCTAGGGATTGGTGGAGAGCATGTATAATCCCTTTATATAAAGGGAAAGGGGACAAAAGAGACTGTAAAAATTATAGAGGAATAAGTTTACTGAGTATACCAGGAAAACTGTACGGTAGGGTTATAATTGAAAGAATTAGAGGTAAGACAGAATGTAGGATTGCGGATGAGCAAGGAGGTTTCAGGGTGGGTAGGGGATGTGTAGATCAAGTGTTTACATTGAAGCATATATGTGAACAGTATTTAGATAAAGGTAGGGAAGTTTTTATTGCATTTATGGATTTAGAAAAGGCATATTATAGAGTGGATAGAGGAGCAATGTGGCAGATGTTGCAAGTACAGTGGACCCCCGGTTAACGATATTTTTTCACTCCAGAAGTATGTTCAAGTGCCAGTACTGACTGAATTTGTTCCCATAAGGAATATTGTGAAGTAGATTAGTCCATTTCAGACCCCCAAACATACACGTACAAATGCACTTACATAAATACACTTACATAATTGATCGCATTCGGAGGTAATCGTTATGCGGGGGTCCACTGTATATGGAATAGGTGTTAAGTTATTAAATGCTGTAAAGAGTTTTTATGAGGATAGCGAGGCTCAGGTTAGAGTGTGTAGAAGAGAGGGAGACTACTTCCCGGTAAAAGTAGGTCTTAGACAGGGATGTGTAATGTCACCATGGTTGTTTAATATATTTATAGATGGGGTTGTAAAGGAAGTAAATGCTAATTAGGTGTTCAGGACAGGGGTGGGATTAAATTTTGGGGAATCAAATTCAAAATGGGAATTGACACAGTTACTTTTTGCTGATGATACTGTGCTTATGGGAGATTCTAAAGAAAAATTGCAAAGGTTAGTGGATGAGTTTGGGAATGTGTGTAAAGGTAGAAAGTTGAAAGTGAACATAGAAAAGAGTAAGGTGATGAGGGTGTCAAATGATTTAGATAAAGAAAAATTGGATATAAAATTGGGAGGAGGAGTATGGAAGAAGTGAATGTTTTCAGATACTTGGGAGTTGACGTGTCGGCGGATGGATTTATGAAGGATGAGGTTAATCATAGAATTGATGAGGAAAAAAGGTGAGTGGTGCGTTGAGGTATATGTGGAGTCAAAAAATGTAAATCTATGGAGGCAAAGAAGGGAATGTATGAAAGTATAGTGTATCAACACTCTTATATGGGTGTGAAGCTTGGGTGGTAAAAAGCAGCAGCGAGGAGACGGTTGGAGGCAGTGGAGATGTCCCCGTTTAAGGGCAATGTGTGGTGTAAATATGCAGAAAATTCGGAGTGTGGAAATTAGGAAAAGGTGTGGAGTTAATAAAAGTATTAGTCAGAGGGCAGAAGAAGGGTTGTTGAGGTGGTTTGGTCATTTAGAGAGAATGGATCAAAGTAGAATGACATGGAAAGCATATAAATCTATTGGGAAGGAAGGCGGGGTAGGGGTCATCCTCGAAAGGGTTGGAGAGAGGGGGGTAAAGGAGGTTTTGTGGGCAAGGGGCTTGGACTTCCAGCAAGTGTGCGTGAGCATGTTAGATAGGAGTGAATGGAGACGAATGGTACTTGGGACCTGACGATCTGTTGGAGTGTGAGCAGGGTAATATTTAGTGAAGGGATTCAGGGAAACCGGTTATTTTCATATAGTCGGACTTGAGTCCTGGAAATGGGAAGTACAATGCCTGCACTTTAAAGGAGGGGTTTGGGATATTGGCAGTTTGGAGGGATATTTTGTGTATCTTTATGTGTGTATGCTTCTAAACTGTTGTATTCTGAGCACCTCTGCAAAAACAGTGATAATGTGCAAGTGTTCTGAAAGTGTTGAATGATGATGAAAGTATTTTCTTTTTGGGGATTTTCTTTCTTTTTTGGGTCACCCTGCCTCGGTGGGAGACGGCCGACTTGTTGAAAAAAAAAAAATACATATTTTTTTTTATACAACCACTGGATTAAGGAGTAAGACTAAATATGCAGGATGGTACATAAACCCTTCAAAGCAACAGTTGACAACTCAAGACACTGAAGCACCAGAATTCTGGCATAAATTTAACAGTGTCGATACACTTACACACGTGGGTGTCTGGAACGGATAAATTGGATTTCCATTATTTCTTATGGGGAGAATTAATTCGGCTAATGTCCAAATCGGTTAAAGGCGAGCTCTCTGGAACGGATTAATGCTGTTACCCGAGGGCCCACTGTATTATGCAACCCACTTCTGCTGGCTTTCCATCCTGCTCATACACACAGTCTTGGCTTTTGTCTTTTGTAGCTGTAATGACCTGTTTCTCATTCTTTCACCATGTCACATTGAGGATCACTCATTCCACAATGAATGAATTGTTTATTTACTAACAACCAAGACACAAGCCATTGCCATGACCCAAGCATTACTCTTCAGCTTATCAATTGCTTCAGTTTTTCAAAATAAGCATAGTTTCATACTTAATTTTCATTTTAACACCTCCAGAGGTAAGATGGAGTGATGTAAAGATTGAAAATGGACTGACCACTTGTGTGGTTGTTTACACCATGGGTGGATGCTAGGCTTCCTGTTGTGCATCAAAGCAGCTTTTCACGCATAGTTTAAAGTCTAGAACATAAAATTTATATAGTTATTGAAAATGCAAGTTATGGTTGTGCAAATTATGATAGTCTACTGTATATGTTTCTTATACTCCATTTCTCCTCCCCACTCTATTTATCTTGGGGAAATAAATAGAAGATAGTATTTCCACATCTTGTATGTACTTCCCTGTTGTTTATTCCTCTCCTTGCTTATTTTCTTTGCTAGTGCTGCAATCTTTTCTTTAAGAGATATTTTTATATATTCTTTTCCAGGGTTTTTATTCTGACCGATTTGGTGCAGAAAATACTGCCATCATCAAGGATAGCAACACAGTTGACATAACGAAGTTAAGCTCTGATAAAGCTTGTATTCAGATAACATATGTGGAGCCGTACTTCGACGAATATGAATATAGAGACAGAGTCACATCATTTGAAAAGAACTACAATATAAGTGAGTATGTTATACTATAATGTTATTTAAGGATTACTTCCTCTGAGGAATGTTTGTTTTTAATTAGTTTGTATTAATTTTGTTAGTTTGTGTTACCAGTTTTTTGATGATTTATTTTTCCTGGGTGCCACTTCAGTATTGAAGATTTCTAACTGAAATTTTGCCTATGGATTTTCTTGTTTTGTTTAAACTTAATTGTGAAAGTATTTTGGAGAATGTGAGACATGTGCAACACCTGGTTTATCTTTATTTTAAGAAGACTCTGCTACTCATTGATTTTATCAGTTCTTTCTTCTTTCAACAAAACAGTCATATCCCACCAAGGCAGGGTGGCACAAAAGGAAGAACAAAGGTTTCTCCTTCTAAATTTAGTAACATATACAGGAGAATGTATACATATACGTACAGTGGAACCTTACTTGCGAGCATGTCCACGTGCGAGTTTTTCCAAATACGAGCAGTCAATGGGTCGATTTTTTGCTTCCATATGCGAGCAAAATTTCCACAAGTGAGCAGACCTCAAGGCAGGTTCCTTGACACTGGTGAGGGGCTCTTGCTCTTGATCTCGGGAATTGTATCTCATTTGTTTGTTGGACTATCTTATTGAAACTTGGGTAGTGTATGATGGAAAGATGCTTCTTAATGTACACCAAAAATGAATGACATGAATGACATATTTTATTTATTCTAGAGTATATATCATGTTTCTATGTTATTCATATTGTTTGTTATGTCATACTAGATGAACTGTGATAGATAAATAAGCCGTATAGATGATGATAGCGAAATTATTCATGGAGTATTTTGCCCAGTGTCCAGACAAACTCTCGTCCACCGCCGACACCGCCCATGCCACTACATGAATGACATATTTTAGAGTATATATCAGGTTTCTGTGTTATTTATATTGTTTATTATGTCATATTAGATGAAGTGAGATAGATAAATAAGCCGTAGAGTTGATATTAGCGAAATGATTGAAGTACAGAATTCCACTGGAATGGATTAATTGCATTTCAATTAATTTAAATGGGGAAAATTGACTCTGCAAATGAGCAAATCCAGTTGCGAGCAAGGTCATGGAACGGATTAAACTCACAAGTAGAGTTCCACTGTACATATAATGTATACGTATAATGTATACATGTAACATATACAGGGAATGTATGAAAGTATAGTAGTACCAACACTCTTATATGGGTGTGAAGCTTGGGTTGTAAATGCGGCACCGAGGAAGCGGTTGGAGGCAGTGGAGATGTCCTGTCTAAGGGCAATGTGTGGTGTAAATATTATGCAGAAAATTAGGAGTGTGGAAATTAGGAGAAGGTGTGGAGTTAATAAAAGTATTAGTCAGAGGGCAGAAGAGGGATTGTTGAGGTGGTTTGGGCATTTAGAGAGAATGGATCAAAGCAAAATGACATGAGAACGTATAAATCCGTAGGGGAAGGAAGGCGGGGTAGGGGTCTTCCTTGAAAAGGTTGGAGGGAGGGGGGTAAAGGAGGTTTTGTGGGCGAGGGGCTTGGACTTCCAACAAGCATGCATGAGCGTGTTAAATAGGAGTGAATGGAGACGAATGGTATTTGGGACCTGACGAGCTGTTGGAGTGTGAGCAGGGTAATATTTAGTGAAGGGATTCAGGGAAACTGTTTTTTTTTTATATATAGCCGGATTTGAGTCCTGGAAATGGGAAGTACAGTGCCTGCACTTTAAAGGAGGGGTTTTGGATATTGGCAGTTTGGAGGGATGTGTTGTGTATCTTTATACGTATATGCTTCTAAACTGCTGTATTCTGAGCACCTCTGCAAAAACAGTGATTATGTGTGAGTGAGATAAGTGTTGAATGATGATGAAAGTATTTTTTTGGGGGGATTTTCTTTTTGGGTCACCCTCCCTCGGTGGGAGATGGCCCACTTGTTAAAAAAAAAAAATACAGGAGAAGGGGTTACTAGCCCCTTGTAGTTGTGGTGGGGTGGTGGCTGATGCTCCACTTTGTCCTTGAGCTGAGGAGTCAGTGGCGTGGGTCCCAGCCTGGGCTGGTGAGTCATGCATAGCCATGGCACTACCTTCACCACTACCACTACCTTCACCACTACCACTACCACCACCTACTGATGCCTGTGGTCTATCCATGCCAAGTGTAGCCACATCATCCTCACTTTCACTGTCTATTCCTGGTGTAGGTCCAGTGGATGTACTCGGGATGTACTCTGTCCCCTGGGCACTTCATAGGGAACACTACCCTGGCGCATGTGGCAGCATATATACCGATGCTTCACTGATGAATATGATTCCTCACTATCACTACTCGAAGGATCGTCAAGAGCAATAAAATCACAATCCACGTCACTATCATCATCATTACTGAAGTCTGAGGCCTGGCCACGCGATAATAATAGTTTTCTCTTGCGACGAGGTACAACTGAACGTGACTCAGATGTGCCCACACCAGAGGTAGAAGGTTGAGGATCGTCAGGATTTTCTGCAGTATTTTCGATATCCTGTTCATTCCTTTCGGTCACTAACTGATCAACACTATAGAATTCGTCTTCATTTCCATTTCCATCCAAGTCAGAACTATCAGATAGGAAGAGGAGAGTCCCAATTCGCCTTGGAGTGAGAGCTGCCTTGCGACGAGGCATGGTGAACAAAGGTAACTGAGGCGGCATTCCCACAATGCTATGTGGGTGCCTAGAAATTTTGTTTACGGCGCGCACACACCACACAGGCCCGTTCTCTCACATGTAGGCCTACCAACCTTCTCGCGCTAAATTTGAAGCCACTAGAATTTTGGCGTAGATCTATGGTTTGGACCCTCAGCGTATAGCCTTAGATCTATGGCACAGACCCTCAAAGAGTTAAGTTGTATAAAAGAGAATTTACCAGTAAACATAGGCCTTAGACAGGTATGTGTGATATGAGTGCAGTTGTCTGATATATTTGTAGATGTAATGGTGAAAGAAGTCATGCTAATATTTGGCAGAGGTATGATATTAAGGAATAATGAATTTGATCAGAGAAATTGCAAAGGTTCATGGAGGAGTTTGAGAGGGTGTGGAAAAAAAGCAAGTTAATAGTGAACATAGAATGAGCAGGGTAGTGAAAATAAGAAAAAGTTTCTGCACTAAAAGACTGTACACCAGATTAGAGGGAGGTCATAAGAAAAGTTAATGTTTTTAGATATTTGGAAGTGGAGGTGTCAGCAGATGAGGTAAATCAATGAATTGATATTAAAAAAGGTAAGTGAAGTGTTGCCTCTGTGCAAAGAACATTTTTTTTATTAGTGGATGCAAGAAAGGAAAATAATTGAGAGTATAATGGTGCCACAATTTTTGTGTTGGTGTAAAGCATGGTCTTTGAATGTTGCAGTTAAGAGGATGAGACAGCTGGCAATAGAGATGTGTTTGATATCAGTGTGTAGTGTGAATATTAGGCAGAGAATAAGGAATGAAGAAATTAGAAGATAGTGGGGTGGTATGAAAGGAAAATTCTGAAAATGAAGTTGTTGACATAGTTTAGATATTTTTAGGATGGCACAAGATGGGTTGACTAAGAGCATGTATAAATCCAGAATGTGGGAGTTGTTCGAGTTAGATGGTAAGTCTGAAAATTTTAAGTGGTAGGTGCTTGAACATCTAGCAGTCACATTTGAGTATGTTAGATAGGGGTTGGTGGAGATCAGTGGCTTTTGGAATTTGAAACGCTATTGAAGTGTGAGCATGTTAACATTTATGAATGGACTTAGGGGAAACTGATTAGCTGAATTTTAGTGCTGAAGGTGGAAATTACAGTACTGTGCCTGCACTCTGAAGGTTAGGTGAGGATGTTGCAGTTTTGGGGGTCATTTTAATTTTTATTTCTGCGCATTCCTGGCAAAAACTTCTGATGAATTAGTATCAGTGAATATACATACAGTGGTCCCCTGAGTTTTGTACAGCTCCCAACTCGAACAGTTATGTAAGTGTATTATTGTATGTGCTTTTGTAAGTGTATTTTTGGGGGTCTGAAACAGACTAATCTAATTTGCATTATTCCTTGTGGAAACAAATTCGTTTGGTAATGGCACTAGAGCAGCCTTCTGGAACGAATTATGGCTGAAACTCGGAGTACCACTGTATTTTCTTCTTTGGGGCTCCCTATCTTGGTAGAAAATAGCCACCATAAAAAATTACATTATTGGGAAAAATGGTTGATAAATTATTCTTGCAGGACCTTGGGTTCTAATAACTTTAGGTGTGAGTGGACACCACATCCTATTTTGTCAGTTTACATACTGCACTGCCTATGTACATAATACAGGTCTCCCTCAACATTCGCGAGGGTTAGGGGATCAAGTGCCTCGCGAATGTTGAAAAACTGTGAATGTTTGGTGCCCCAATATATTGTAGGGAAATATATTACAATACTGCTTCCTTAACTTGTTGAACCATGAATAATCATAAAATACATGAAAACGTTGTAAATTGTACTAAATATATACATGTTATGCTTTAATAACGTTTTTTTTTTTTTTTTTCAACAAGTCGGCCATCTCCCACCGAGGCAGGGTGACCCAAAAAAAAAAGAAAGAAAATACTTTCATCATCATTCAACACTTTCACCACACTCGCACATTATCACTTTAATAACGTATGTTATTTAATAACATGTATGTTAATAACATGTATGTTAATAACATGTATGTTATTAAATACCACAGACTCCACCACTGCCTCCACCACTGCGAGTCCCTACTACCCTCCCTCTGACCCCTGCAACTGGCAGCCAGCCCTCCCACCACTCAGTGTGGTGAGTGTTTTGTTTGTTCATTATTTGTTATTAAACTACAGTATAAATAATGTAAACACATTCATGACTGCATATTGGAATGGCTATTAGGAAAGGTATTAGACGGTGACATCATGTGTTTACTCTTGAACACTGCAAAGAATCGAACATTTCTTCTATTGCTAATAACAACAATAGTAATAATAATAATAATAATAATAATAATAATAATAATC